ACACACACATACATACACATTTTTGTACCAGAATCCTAATTTTAGTGTTATTTTTTTTAAAAATAGAATTAAAAATGTATACTTTTAAGCTACAGTAACTTTTTTTTTTGTAACTGATCAAAACCGGAAAACGATGATTTTTTTTATGTGTGTAAATTTTGTCTATGGATTGCATAAAAAATAAAGCCATTTTTTTAAAAAGACAATAAGGCCAGGTTCACACCGTTTTCCAGAACAGATCTGGAACACGGTGCATTGCTTTTTACCCGAGATTTTACTAAGACTTTGCTGATAGAGTGTTTGTTTTTTTTTGTTTAGCTTCAAATGGCCTTTCAGTTGCAGTCCAGTGCGTATGTATGTATGTATGTATGTATGTATGTATGTATGTATGTATGTTTGATGCGTTTCCGCACTGGAAAAGCATCAAACATGCATACATACATACGCACAGTTCCAGACCAGAGAAAATTAAACAAGCAGTAAAGTTTTTTTTAAATCTGGTCTGGAATGGACTGCGCTGGTGTGAACAGAGCCTGCAAATAACATAGGGATACATTGGGATGCTTTTTTGGTCCGGGAACAAACTGTTCTGGTCTGGACATTATGTGAACAAGCCCTACAGAAAACGTTGTATTACTTTGTCATCTTAAGTTGAGGAAGGAATGGGCCCATAACAGAAATATAACAAATGTCCTAGTTCATAGGGGTGTACAGTGTGCCCTTTTTTTTTCCTTCTATAAATTGCTCAAAAAATAAAATAATTTCTGGAAGACAAACTCACCTAATGAACGCCTTGCTTGTCCTATAAATAAAATAATGCGACATGCATTACGTCATCATCTTAACTGGCTACATAAACCGGTCCATAGCAGAAATGTAAAAATTGGTCCATAGGGAAGGGGGGGAGGGTGTACAGGGGTGAGCCGAACTTGTCAAGGGCAACACAAAAAGCCAGATAATAAAAGGATCACATGGTAAAGCCAACAACACGTCTGAAAGGAGGAGCAGCATCTGCATGGAGGCAACAGAGAAAGCAGCTGGGCAGCAAAATGATGAATGACAGGATGCTTAGGTGAGGAGCTGACAGATGATGGATGGCATCTGCTGATCATAAATGTAAAGCAAATTAAACACAGTCCAGATCTTAAGATTTAATAAATACATTACAAATGATAATATATAATCGTCTTGAACAAGCTGCTGCAGGTGTCTATTCTTCACGTTCTACAACTAAGAACACCGACAGGAAAAAACAAAATTAAGCTTTTACTGACTTCACCTGCCGTCCCGGACCAAAACAACGGCTACCCCACAGACGTACCCCACTTACCCGGCACGAGAGGGGCATCGGCGGTGTCAGAATCCGATCCCAGTGCCAACGGGATGGGGAAAATTAGCGGCAAAGGATTTCAGAGTAAAGAGCTCATAACGAGAGGGAGCGACATCTGCGGCTGACGGAGAAGAAGAATTTTTACAAGAGGAAAATGAGAGGATTTTTCCAGTGATTCGGGGAGGAGAGAGGAGGAGAGAGAGAGAGAGAGAGAGAGAGAGAGAGAGAGGTGCACCGCCGCCGCCGTGCTGGACGCAGAGGGATGCTGAAGATGTGACCTCGGTGAAAAGGTGGCTCCCCAATTACACAGTGACGCTGCAGGACGACCCCTCCCCGACATTCCTCAACCTTTCAGGAAGGGCAGAGGAAACAAAGGAAGAGCCGAGATAAGAACAGAGAGAGAGAGGAGGCTGAGCGAGCGGCAGGTTGAAGGCTGGAGGCGGAGGACGGAGAGGAGCTTATATGGGTCCGAAGAACGGGGCAAAGACTCCGCTCCTTCTGGAGGACCCCGACAGTCCCAGAACACAGTCGCAGTGCCCCAAGTCATTGAGCTCCAATCTATTGCTTAGGCTGAGATGACATCTTCAGTCTGCTGCAGGGAGGAGGAAGCATTTCCTCAGTCTCCACTCCCACAGTGATCAGTCTGCTGCAGGCAGGAGGAAGCATTTCCTCAGTCTCCCCTCCCCCAGTGATCAGTCTGCTTCAGGCAGGAGGAAGCATTTCCTCAGTCTCCTCTCCCCCAGTGATCAGACTGCAACATTGTAGCAATCTGAAAGTGACGGGGCAGCAGGGACTGATCTGTGTTGAACATTTCTGAACAGCCAAGGACTGCACAGGTATCAGGTTTGACATGATTGTGTCATCTTAGTCCAGGAAGTAGATGGAGACCCCGGATGATGCCTGAACAAAAATGGTGCCGTCCTTCTGGAGAGAAAAGCAGATGAAGGCATTGCCGGGGGGGGGGGGGATACTGCGAGTACAAGTCTCACGCGGGATTCCTGCACAGATCTAGAAGAAATACACAAAGCTCTCCAAGAGTCCAGGAGGAGGACACACACACATGACAATATCTGCTCATCCCTGAGTTTAGCTTTGAGCCAAATGAACTCAGTTTGATCAATGCTCATGGATGCCAGATGCCGAACTCCAGACTTTCCCGGGTGGCTCTTATATCTCCCATACCTTCCCGAGCCTACATACCTTCCAAACCCACGTACCTTCCAGACCCACGTACCTTCCAGACCCACGTACCTTCCAGACCCACGTACCTTCCAGACCCACGTACCTTCCAAACCCACGTACCTTCCAAACCCACGTACCTTCCACACCCACGTACCTTCCAAACCCACGTACCTTCCAAGCCTTCTGTGACATCTCTTCCCTCAACATGTCCAGCTCCATACTGTACCTAGGTAACCCCCATCTCTGCAGTCAACAAGCTGCAACTTTCCCCTCCTGAGGGATTTTCGTGAGGACCTCAGAACGTGAGCCATTCATTCTGTTTATTTCCCCTCTCCATGTATATTATTTTGTGGGACCGCATTCCTCGGCTTCCCCCCCTCCTCTGGCCCAGCATAGGAAATCTTTCGCCAATTATCCAGGCGGGCAGGAAGTGTGACGGTGCTACAAAACAATACAGTGTTTATTTATACAGGCAGAGCGAGGAGGAGAGAAGAACCTGGGGAATAATATACCGGATTGTGACACCTACAGGATTTGAGGGATTGGGGGGGCGAAAAAAAAACCCAAAAAAAAACACGATACCAGGGATAGGCAACTTAAGGCGCACGTGGCAAGGAGGGCATGCAATGTAACCCAAAAGATCATTACAGTTTTGGGCTGGTACTCTGGGGATCCACCAGTGTGCTCCTGCTCCCTACAAACTCAACACTGCTGCCCAATACCAAACCCAGCTATTCTATCTAACCCTAAGGCCCACAAACCTCCATGATGTTTTGGAGAGGCCCGTCTGGCATCCCTGATGTTCAAGTACCCAAACTTCTACCAGTACCATTGTGGGCGCACCTTTGGCTGCAGACATTAATACATCCAGCTACCCTCTATAGGTGCAGGAATTGGGGTCTGATCTGAGATGTGAAGGTGTAAGAATTGGGGTCTGATCTGAGATGTGAAGGTGTAAGAATTGGGGTCTGATCCAAGGTGTGAAGGCGCAGGAATTGGGGTCTGATCCAAGGGGTGAACGTGCAGGAATTTGGGGCTGATCCGAGGGGTGAACGTGCAGGAATTTGGGGCTGATCCGAGGGTTGAAGGTGCAGGAATTTGGGGCTGATCCGAGGGTTGAAGGTGCAGGAATTGGGGTCTGATCCGAGGGTTGAAGGTGCAGGAATTGGGGTGATCCGAGGGGTAAAGGTGCAGGAATTGGGGTCTGATCCGAGGGGTGAAGGTGCAGGAATTGGGGTCTGATCCGAGGGGGTGAAGGGTGCAGGAATTGGGGTGACCTGAGGGGTAAATTTGCAGGGGTTGGGATCTGAAGTTTGAAGGTGCAGGAATTGGGGGTGATCTGAGCTGTGACGGTGCAGGAAATGGGGATGATCACCCTTATACCCTAATAGATTGTAAGCTCTTCAGCCTTTGTGAGGCTTCAACTTTGCACACTCAGACTATGAGCAGTCCTATCAAGGATTTTCTGTGTGTTCCAGACCTTGGTTTGACTTTTACACCCCCCTAAATTCCATGTGTTAATGGCATTCCAGATCAAGGAAATTGCAAGCAGGAAGCATTCAGCGATCTTTTTATAGCCCCCAGCATTGTACGAGCCAACTTTTCATTTTCTTGATTAGCTGTTTACAGGAGCCCAACGGTACAGAGGACAAGCAAGGTGTCTCAGAGCACAGGGCCCAGAGGGGTTGATCAGAGAGGACAGGGCCCAGAGGGGTTGATCAGAGAGGACAGGGCCCAGAGGGGTTGATCAGAGAGGACAGGGCCCAGAGGGGTTGATCAGAGAGGACAGGGCCCAGAGAGGTTGATCAGGGAAGACAGGGCCCAGAGAGGTTGATCAGGGAGGACAGGGCCCAGAGAGGTTGATCAGAGAGGACAGGGCCCAGAGAGGTTGATCAGGGAGGACAGGGCCCAGAGAGGTTGATCAGGGAGGACAGGGCCCAGAGAGGTTGATCAGAGAGGACAGGGCCCAGAGAGGTTGATCAGGGAGGACAGGGCCCAGAGAGGTTGATCAGAGAGGACAGGGCCCAGAGAGGTTGATCAGAGAGGACAGGGCCCAGAGAGGTTGATCAGGGAGGACAGGGCCCAGAGAGGTTGATCAGGGAGGACAGGGCCAAAGGGGATTTTTGGCCAGGGAATTTACATGCCTTTAGTACTTTCACTGATCAGGAGTTGGAATTTTGCTGCATCTGTGTTCAGGGCCAGGACTGACTGTTGACACCAGAGGAGACCAGCAGTTGCAGGAGATCAGGAATGACGGCCTCCACATTTCCCACATTATAGGTGCACTGTCAAGTATTTACATATTCCTGACAACTAGCAAATTACCACTTCGCCTCCCTTCAGTGGCTCAGCAGTTAAGCTCACCCTGCTACCCCCTCCCAGTAGTGACTCAGCAGTTAAGCTCCCTCCTCCCAGAGGTTACTCAGCAGATCAGCAGAAGCAATTTTGAGTCCAGTGGAGGAGCCAGTACAACTGTTCAAAACTAAAAGGGAAGTCCAGAGTTCAGTTTTAAGCAGCCATTCCGTGGTGCAGCTACATTGCTGCTTTCTAAAGGACCTCCTTTATCCTCAACCTCCCCCCAATTCCTAGATAAGCCAGAAACCTTTCCTACACTATGCCCCCAAAATACAGAGGCAGAAAAAAAAGGCAGCTGCATGATTTATACACCGATCAGCCATAACATGATGACCCCCCTAATATTGAGTAGGTCCCCCTTTTCCTGACCCGTCCAGGCATGGACTCCACTAGACCTCTGAAGGTATGCTGTGGTATCTGGCACCAGGCTGTAAGCAGCAGATCCTTAAAGCCCTGTAAGTTGTTTGGCCTCCATGGATCGGACTTGTTCTTCCAGCACATCCCACATATGATCGATTGGATTGAGATCTGGAGAATCTGGGGGCCAAGTCATCACCTCAAACTCATTGTTGTGTTCCTCAAACCATTCTTCAACCATTTTTGCAGTGTGGCAGGGAGCATTATCCTGCTGGAAGAGGCCACTGCCATCAGGGAATACCGGTTCCATGAAGGGGTGTACATGGTCAGTAACAGTGTTTAGGTCGGTGGTACCCGTCGGAGTAATATCCACATGAATGGCCGGACCCGATGTTTCCCAGCAGAACATTGCCTAAAGCATCAAACTGCCTCCACCGGCTTGCCTTCTTCCCATAGTGCATTCTGGTGCCATCTCTTCCCCAGGTAAGTGACACACACGCACCCGGCCATCCACATGATGATCCATCAGACCAGGCCACCTTCTTGAATTGCTCCGTGCTCCAGTTCGGATGCTCCTGTGCCCATTGTAGGCGCTTCTGGCGGTGGACACGGGTCAGCATGGGCACCCTGACCTACAGCTATGCAGCCCCATACACAACAACCTGCGATGCAACTTTCTACCAGAACCAACATTCACTTTATCAGCAATTTGATCTCCAGTATCTCTTCTATTGGATCGGACTACACGGGCCAGACTTCCCTCCCTATGTATATGAATGAGCCTTGGCCACCCATGACCCTGTCACCGGTTTTCCTTCCTTGGAGCACTTTGTCGGTCTTGACCACTGCAGACCGGGAACATCTCACAAGAGCTGCAGTTTTGGAGTTGTTCTGACCCAGCCGTCTAGAATCACAATTTGGTTCTTGTCAAAGTCCCTCAAATCCTCACACTTTTTACATTATTTCTGCTTCCAACACATCAACCTCAGGGACAAAATGTTCACTTCCTGCCTGATACACACTAGTGGTCACAATGTTATGGCTGATCGGTGTATATTTGTACAGATCACATTGAATACAGGAATTGGAGATGGTGAATATTTAACAACAACATTGAGAAAGTCAATTACCTCCGGACGATCATTTTGAGGATTTTGTAGGATCCTTTGATCAGGATTAAAGCTTCTTGCCGCGATCCATATAGAGGAGTACCATTAATATTCACCAGTTCATCCCCCACTTCCATCTTCTCACTTTTCTCTGCTTTGCCGCCATCTTCAATCTGCCGGAGATGAAGAAAAAAATCACGTTTGGTAAAACAGGATTCAAATTCCTTATTATTTATTACATATGATCGTTTTCCTTCTTGTCATCACATTACTATGTATCATCTCTCTATGGACTCCGGTCTATCCAATACATTACTATGTATCATCTCTCTATGGACTCCGGTGTATCCAATACATTACTATGTATCATCTCTCTATGGACTCTGGTGTATCCAATACATTACTATGTATCATCTCTCTATCCCGCCCCCCCATTGCCCTCTACACTACCCGCATCAACAGGTTGAGAGCCAGTGTTGCCCGTCCATCCAGAGAACTTTAAGAGGAAGTAAATCAGGGCAGACATGATGCAGTTTTATAGTTCTTTAAAATGGAACAGTTATAAAATGATAAAATAGCTTGCATTGAACAGGGAAGGGGTTGGGGGAGGGGGGCAGTACTGCTGATAAATGAAATGCTGGCCGGTGATCCACTTTACCCACCTCGAGGCGTTTGCTGGACTATTACACATCAGTGTGAAATATGGGCAGAAAGATATAATGCAACTCATGATGAGACATCTATTGGACGGTGTCCACGGAACAGTCTGTACAATACCAAGATGTTTGTTTGAGAAGACTTCAAATGACTTGTGTTTGTCTAGACCCAGTGCTGATAAACCATTGCCAAGGATAAATAAAAAAAAACCTGTTTGCGTTCTTCCCTTGTATTTCGAGTGGTTTCCTATCAGTCTGTAAGCAAAGTGTAGGCGCTGTACTGTACTTTTGTGTAGTAGGCAGGAGAACACTTTAGGAGGTGGCGGCCTCCCGAATAGTGTGCATTTGTCGGCCCGTCTTACATACGCTTCCCAAGATCAGGTGCAATGTTAAAAATAGTTATTTCATGGAATACATTCATGCTGAAGACCCTTTATATATTAAAATGAACAATCAGCCATAACATTTAGCAACACAGATGGGCAACGACAGAAAAGGTCCAAGGGGTCCATAGAGTCCGCCCTGTTCATTTTTATTACAAAAAGAACGGCAGAAAAATCAAAAACGTACCCTTGTAGTGGGGCTACCCCTGCTCTGTGAGGATTGCCCATTTTGTCTAAGGCAGGGATGGCCAAACTCTGGCCCTCCAGCTGTGGTGAAACTACAAATCCCATGATGCATCTCTCTCCGGGAGTCATGTCTGTGGCTGCGAGAATCTTGCAAAGCCTCATGGGATTTGTAGTTCAACCACAGCTGGAGGGCCGCAGTTTGGCCATCCCTGGTCTAAGGGGTCAGATACATCTTTATAACTCACTTGATCCACGGTCCTGCGCTCACCTCTTAACTATGGATTTGTCCCTTGGCATGCTCATGCCTAACGCGGGTCAGGGGGACCTACACCGGGGTCTAGTTGCGGGTCAGGGGGACCTACACCGGGGTCTAGTTGCGGGTCAGGGGGACCTACACCGGGGTCTAGTTGCGGGTCAGGGGGACCTACACCGGGGTCTAGTTGCGGGTCATGTCAGGGGACCTACACCAGGGTCTAGTTGCATACAGAACATAAAAGAAAAAAAATGTAAAAAAATGCAACCAAAAAAAAACGTTTCAAGTCCCCCGCCCCCCGCATACACGCGCAAACATGCATGGGGTGCGTCTACATGCAAAATCGAAAAATTGCGCTGCACATGTTACATATGGCTGCAACAATTCTAGGCCCATCAATTACTGGTTACATTAAACTGTTGAGCAGTAAAAGCTTTTAAAATCGTCTCCTATGGGAAATTTGGGGTATTGTATTTTTTTTGCGGTTTCACGGACGCATGCAATTTTAAGGCTCCACATGTTTGGTATTTCTTTACCCGGCTTGACCCCATCTTTTATATTTTACCAAAAAATTAGGTATTATATTCTGTTTCTGTGCACTAAAATGTCATTCTAGTGTACTTTAGCCTAAAAATACCGGTTTGATTTAAATTTGCACAAATATGGCACAAATGTTTCTATTCTACGGGGCCTCTACTGTCACAAAATATATCATTGCTTGGGGGTTTGAAGCTGTATTCTAGCCATAAAATTCAAAGTTATCATGCGTGTGCAAATAGGAAGAAATTGCTCCGGCCAGCAAGTGGTTAAGTGATGGTACGTGCGTGTACAAGCCCTCAATGTCTGCAGCAAAGGCTACTTGAGCAGGTCTTCAGTCTTGCCTATGGGTCATTGGCTTGCAAAGCTGAAGTGCTATTAGGCCAGCCTACAGATTTGTCAACGTTGGGATTTTCAGCATGGTGGAAGATTTAGATCAGAGTGCCACCTGGTGGTGAGCTGCAAATCTTGTTCGGTAAACGTTATGGACAAAAAATGCGACAATGAAAAAAAAAATGCAACGGGAAGAAACTGACCAAGTTATAGATAACGGATCCACTCTACCTTCCTATAGATCTTGATGGAGCCAGTAAAGGCAGCAGAACACCGAACAAGTCTTAGTCTTTGCTCAGCAGGGTCTGAAGATTTAGGAGTCACCCCAAAGGCTACACCTAATGGTGGCCATACAAATAGCGATTGGTACCAGCGATCGATCATCAATTAAATGGCGATGGACTTGCCAGAGTCAAAAGCAATTGAGAGCTTACTAAATTTATTGATTGAAGGGTAATTTTAATCATTTTCAACACACTAAAATGATCGATTGTATGATACGGTTTATTTGTGACCACCTTAGAAAAAGAGAGCACACGGGAGGAATGAAAAACACGAATGGAGCCACCACATTGAAGAATTGGGAAGCTGCAATGTATTAAATACATTTTAAAGTGTCTCTCAACTCAAGAACCACAAAAATTCCATAATGCAGGTAACCACTTCTTAGACATGGGAGCTGAATTCTCATCCAGGGTTCCTGCAGAGGTTGCTTGGGGTTCCTTGAGCTGTGGCTCTCATCTGATGGTGCCTGCGTAGTTCCAGGGCCAATGTCACATGGCAGAACCATTGGCATGACACTGGAGATCTTTTTAGAGATCAGTAAGCGTAGAATTCTGACCACCACTGTAAGAGGGTCATTTTCCCTCCCAAGTAACTAATTTCAGCAGATCTTCCCTGAGACCTGAAAAGAATTTCGATGGTGAAAGGATTGAGACAGGCTTACACCCCGGTCCTCCAACTATTCTGCACAGCAGCTCTAGATGTGGATCGCGTTTTCCCTATGGGCTTCCTAAATAAAGGATAAGCCTTCTCAATGGGTCACCATCATTCCATAAGGGTTCCCCTAGTTATGGAGACTTTTATTTGATGGCCAACTAGTCTTCTATGTTAGATACATTGCCATCCATTGAACATCTAGGGTGATCAATGTCCTCAGTAGCAGTCTTCTTCTGCAGCACTGAACATCTAGGGTGATCGTTGTCCTCAGTAGAAGTCATCTTCTGCAGCACTGAACATCTAGGGCAGGGGTGCCCATTAGGTAGATCGTGATCTACCAGTATGGTGACCAAGGTAGTTGCGCTAGGATATATGGCAGAAATCAAAAAACCAAAATACAAGGAAATAAAAAAATATGATCAAAAAATCCAGCTGCAGCAATATCTATCAAGGTGATCAATTGTAAACCGGTGTGCTGCGCTTGGTTTTGTGATGCGTGCTATATTTAATCTTTAAATTATGTGATGTTTGTAAGACTTTATCAAAAAGGTAAGTCTTCACGACGAAACGCGTAAAAGGAGTGTGCTGTTTCCCCACTGACACCCTGGAGAGAGGCTATATATAAGTTGCTTATGTTGTTGTACCTATGGAAGTCTGTAAGTACAATCATTTTTAACTACTTGGTAAATAAAGCATTTTGCATCTGCACTTAAATCCTGTCTTCTCTCCTTTGGTCGGTCCCCCCCTCGGCTTTCTGGCTGATCCCTCCGGAGTGCTCTCCAGCCTTGGAGGTTGTCTAATTATCGCCGATGAGAGGAAGTGTAGCCTGACGGCAGGAGAGGACAGAGAAACTAACAGAGAAGGTTTCCTTTTTCTATTTTGCGGATGTATCAATAGAATTATAAACAAAAGACATTGGATTTTTAATACCGTTTGGTAGAAAATAGACTATTGGTGTTACAACCCTCGTGTACACACTTTTACACTTTTTATTTTTTCCACCTGTATTTATTCACTTAGTTAAATGTTGTTGATTGTTAGATTGATCTATTTTTACATTTAACTATTTAGTATCCACAACTGTATTTTCACTTTATGGCACATAAATGCATCATTAATTTATTTGGTTCACATTTAACTATCTAGTATTTACATCCGTACTTTTACCATATTTATATGACACGTATAATTATTAACATTCATGCACATATGCACTTTTGGATTGCATATAGTTGCAAGTAGGATCCGATCACTTGCACTGTTTTTAGTCTGTGGTATTACAAACATCACATAATTTAAAGATTAAATATAGCACGCATCACAAAACCAAGCGCAGCACACCGGTTTACAAGTGATCTACCAGTAGCTCTCAAAGCTGATGCTGTTAGATCACAAAGGGTGTGAATGGCGGCCCCTTTATTCCATGTTGGCATATTTATTTAGCTGTGCATACATAATTACCTATTAGCCTGAGTCTGCTGAGCCAAGCTCCCTGACACCTTTCTGGTGGATACTGGTGTTTGAAGTGCTATGTATTACATCAAAGAATATTAGTTTACACAGCCTGTTGCACTGCACTGTTTGCAAAATACAGCAAGGTGAGTCAGGAGAGAGAGCGGGGAGAGACAGCCAGGAAAGAGAGAGAGAGGAGAGACAGCCAAGAGAGTGAAGAGAGACAGCCAGGAGAGAAAACAAAGAATGACATCCAGGAGAGAGAGAGAGAGAGGAAAGACAGCCAGAAGAGAGAAGAGAGACAGCCAGGAGGATGAGCAAGGAGAGACAGCTAGAAGAGAGAGCAAGCAGAGACAGCCAGGAGATGGAGAGCGAGGGAGGGTTTTTTTCGTTGGTAGATCTCATGTAGCTCGTCATTTGAAAAGTAGATCTTA